CAGGAATCTTCATGAAAGCAGGAAACTAACTTCCCAGGAAAACCTCTACACAGAGTCTCTGAAGAGTCATGGAATACTCAAGGTTGGAGGAGACCTCTAAGGTCTAGTTCAACCCTTAACCTGTCACTGCTGAACAGGAATCTTCATGAAAGCAGGAAACTAACTTCCCAGGAAAACCTCTACACAGAGTCTCTGAAGAGTCATGGAATACTCAAGGTTGGAGGAGACCTCTAAGGTCTAGTTCAACCCTTAACCTGTCACTGCTGAAATTCCTAAACCAGATCCTGCAGTGTCAAATCCAGACACCTCTAAAACACCTCATGATGACTCGACTCCACCACCTCTCTGGGCAATATCCCAGTGCCTGAACACTCACCCTCACAGGGAAACATTTCTCCTAACATCCAATCTGACTCAAGACAAATAGAGAAGCCCAAATATTCCAGATCTGCTTAGGAGAAGTTGTGTAAAAGACCAAAGCAACTTACCAGTGTTGCAAGTACTTCCTATCCACTCTGGGGGACACGAGCAGCGGAATGTATCTCCATCATCATAGCATGTCCCACCATTGCTGCAAGTGTTTGCATCACACTGGTAGTCACCTACACAGACAGCAAAGCATTTTCATTCCCACTGGGCTGGCTGAATTTCAAGAACAAAGTCCTTTTAAAATCAAAGCTAAAGACACTTCACATTTCAAGGCAACAGCACCAGGAACATAGTTCCACTTGCTGTGTTACAGCAAACGACCCAAAGGATGCAATCTAAGGGCAGCTCTTACAGAACTATTTCACTCCATGAAGGAACACAATTTCAAGTGTTCCATTTAGTGGCTGGGAAATGGAAGAACCAAGGAAAAGCTGCCTAGTTTTTTTTCACAGCAATTGTTTCACTTTAAATTTCAGGAACTTGAGTCCCACGAGAAGCAAGGAAACAAATCTTGGGGTAATCTAAAGATCAAAGCAAAGAACACTTACGTGAGTGACAAGTTTTGCCCTTCCAGTCATTCTTGCACTCACAATAGAAGTCGTTCACTAAATCAATGCATCGGCCACCATTGTGACAGGGGTTGGGGGAACAGTCATTGAAATCTAGGAGAGCAGGTCAGCAAATCAGATGGTGCAGCTCAGCCAAGGCAGTGAGAACACACAAACCACTACACTCTACTCAGGCAGACAACAGTCTTAGTTAGTACAAGGTTACGTTTCTATCAGCAAGGGGAAAACTCTGATTTAATATAGAGCCAAGTGAATTATGAGAGGTTTTCTGGGACCTGAGAAGGACCACTCAGCATGGCTTCTAAGCAGAGCACCAAATTAGCTTCATTTCCACAAACTGCTCTACTCTGGGCTTCAGAAACAGCTTTCTAGAAGGAACCACAATGGCCTGAAAAGGAGTCCCAATCCATGACATCCACATGAGACAGTCAGGGCTCCTTTCTCCTGCTTTATGTCCCCAAACACAGAGGGTTAAAACCATATATATATATATATATATATAATGTGTATGTGTACACACATTACACATACATACACAAACATGAGTTGTAGAGAAGGTGCTTTTCACTCAAGACAAAGCTTTTAATAGGTGGAACACAGTTATTCCAGAGCAAACTTCATCTAGACCACACAAAAGGCTTTTGTGACAGCAATAGTTGCCAAAAGCTTCTCAGTCTGTTTCTCATCTTGGCTGATGCATGTCCTGCAGTAAGTCCCAGCAAGCCCTTGCCATCATGGCTTACAAGAGGCTTCATTCAGAGCAGAGAAAGAAGCAACTGCAGTTTCCTGAGGTGACTTAACCATGAACTGGCCTAGTACATCTTTGTCAACATTTTGCCTATCCCCAGGAGAAAGTTCTCTCCCTCTGAGATAAATCATAGGATCATAGAATTTTAGGGGTTGGAATGGATCTCAGAGATGATCCAGCCCCAACCCCTGCCCTGGGCAGGGACACCTCCCACCAGAGCAGGCTGCTCAAGGCTCAGCCAACCTGGCTGTGAACACTGCCAGGGTTGGGGCAGCCACAGCCTCCCTGGGCAACCTGGGACAGTGTCTCACCACCCTCACAGAGAAAACTTCTGCCTAAGATCTAACCTACATTTCCCTCCTTCAATTTGACCCCATTACCCCTTGTCCTGTCCCTGCAGCTCCTAACACAGCAGCTTCCCTGGAGTCACTTCAGATCCTATGCTACACCAAAGTATCAAATTCTGCTTCTATTAAAGGAACTGAGACTTTCAGAGCAGCTACCCAAAGACCTTCCTGAAAATCCTCCTGCAAACAAGACTAATTATCCAGCAGAGAAACTACCCCATTGTTAACTCCATACCAACCACCTCTCACAATTACAAGCTGCAATGTTTGACCCTGAAACTCTTAGCAGTACTCACTTGTGTCACACAACTCTCCTTCCCAGCCACTTGAACAGAAACACCTGAAGGAATCAACTTCATCGATGCATGTCCCACCATTCTTGCAAGGTTTCCCAAGGCAATCATTGATATCTACAACAAAAAGGCAACAATTATTGCTCAGGGCTGTTTTCACCTCCTTGGAGGAGTGATCTACACTTGCGTGACCAGGAAAAGCAGGACAAAGTTATCATGCAGAATCACAGACTAATCAGAGTGGGAAGGAACTCTTGAGGATCATCTAGTCAAACACCTGGCCCTGCACAGACATCCCTGACAATCTCACCATGTGCCTTGCTTCATTTATGCATACAAAATCAAAGCTCAGATATCTGTTTTCAAGCCTGGTAAGGTTGCTAGAAGTTTCTCTCATGTAGCAAGTCAGACCAGAGCTTTAAGTTCACCTGGCAAAAATACCCAGGTGTTAAAAAACACACCCAGAGCAGCAATGCACCTGCTCTTGAGTTGTGCTGTGTCAGTCCCATCTTTACCAGTCTCCTGTTGGAGAAATCCACAGCTCATGAGCCTGTACATAAAGGCAGTGGGTGCAGACACATTCACATGGAAGCTGGACTCCAACCAGTTTTCTTGCATGGAGGAAGTGTGAACCACCACAAAGACAACTGTTACCAGAAGAACCTGGATTTCAGCAGTGCACCCAACACAACACTCAATGCAACTGGATGGTCTATGCTGCAAAGCTTCCTAACAAAAACCTTGAAGAAAAATGTAGAGAAAAGCAACTAATTTACACCAAACTCCTACTTACTTTCATGGCAGTACGTGCCAGTGAAGCCTCTGTCACAGGCACAGGTGAAGTTCCCTCCTGGCTGGCTGATGCACCGACCGTGGGGTCCACACACGTTGGATGAAATGAACCGAATTCCTTCTTGGGTGGCATTGCTGAAGACTTCTATTGTGCAGCTGTCTATGACTGGGAGTGAGAAGTGTGTCACCACTCATCATCTGCATCACCAATCAGCTTTTCATTTTAAAAAGAGTCAGACCAAAATTGAAGCTAATCACAGTTGTTACCATCCACCTCTTCATAAATCAGGAGTGTTACAATCATTTCTCCTCACTGCTTCACTATACAAAGTTCAAGTGAGCACAAAAAATATCATTTCTGCTTTATGCTACTCCCCCAGGTACTCCTTTTATTTTTAGTGCCCCCCCAAATACATCCAGATTCCTGGACAACACAGGTACCTTTACAAGAATTGTTCTTGCAGTGGTCCTTGAGATGAGAACAATTTTTTCCATCATAATCATCAGGGCAGGCACAGTAATAATCTCCTCCCAGATCGTAACATTTAGCCCCATTCTGGCACGGGTTAGGTTCACAGAAATCAATATCCATCTGTAAGAGAGACCACAGTTAGCAGCAGCTGCTCTATTTCCCAGGAGTAAGCAGTATGATCTGCTTTGCCAAAGACACAGACGAAGCTAATGTACAAGCAACCTCCAGTTTCCAGGAGGTTTGTGAATCATACATATTGCATTGCATCCTGCAAGACAGAAGCTTCAGCTTAGTCTATCCTAATACAAAGCATTTCTGATACTCTCTAGAAGATGCTCCTTTGCAGGAGGCTGAATAAGCAGATTTGTACTAACTTAGCAAAGAGACACTTGAGCCATGAGGAGAAATCTTCCCAGGACTGTTCTGTACCATTGCAAGTAATTTCTCTGTCCTTCACACCCACAGACTCAGTGCTGTAAGGCAAGTTAAACAGCAGTGCACTTGTCAGCTTTGTGTCTGCACGAGGTTTAGGATACACAGAACCTGAACAAAATCCCATCCTCTAGAGCAGCTTCTCTTCCCATCTCAATTAATGGAGAATTTAGGACCAAACCACAGGGCTTGGAACCTCTAGAGGTCAACTAGTCCCCACCTCCTGCTCCAAGTGGGTCTGGTTAGCCCCAGCTGTGCAGGACCTCACCCCTACAGCTCCCATCCCCATGCCAACTTACACACAGATCTACTAGGTCCATGGTGAGATCTTCCAGCTGATTCAGAAAGCAACAATTTAAGCCTGATTTCATACCAGAACCTTGAGCAGAGACATCGCCGTGGAAAACCATTCTGCTGCTTCTGCAGCAATAGTCTGGACTGGCACAAAGGATCACTGACTTATGGTGCCCTAAATCAGTCTCAAAACCCACAGAGCAGCCTCAAAAGGGATATTTTTACATCACAGTGTCTTCACCCCCAATTCTTGTTCTTAAGGATTGCTTTTCTCCCCCCTCAAGTCAGTTTTTCCCTCTTCACATCTCTCTTGGGGGAGAGAGAGCTTTCAACTCTGCAGACAGAAAATTAAGCCCAACAGTGGTTTTGATCACTATTTTTAGCAGTTCAGTAGCTAAATAGGAGAAAAATGCAAAACAAGGCGAAACAGAAGGAACACACAAATGGTGCTAAGGATTTAACTCAGCAGAGCACACACAATTCCAGCCCCTACAGAAAACCTTCAGCAAGTCATTTCGTGCTCTCATTTGGAACATTCAAAGCAAGCTATAAAAAAAAAAACAACCCAGCTAAGGTCTGAGAAGGATTCTCAGATCTCCTCTATCAGATGTCTCCATTTGTTTCCTTCCATTAGTGTAAATTTCCCCTTCCCAAGGCAAGCTCAGGAGCTGGTACTTTAGCATCTGGAATCAATGGTAGATGTTTCCTGCAGCACACAAGGCAAGCAGCCAACTCCCCCTGTTATTCCAGCACGTTTGCTACGACCTTAATTACACAGTGTGGGATGGATCAGCCCGAGGAGAGCACTGAAGTGAGGATCCTTATGTAGGAACAGCTCATGAGCTCTTCAGTGCTGCAGCAGCTTTGTTAAACCGGTTGGTATCTGCAGCCCTCTTTAATGCTGACCAAAAGGAGGGCACTGCTGCTTTAACAATGCAAATAGCATGGAATAAAATTACCTCAGGGTCTGAGATCACTCCAATGTCCCGCATAAAAAAAACCTGGAACGAATCCAGACAAATTCTAACCCAGTGCCTCCAGTTGATGCTGTCGTCTCGCTAAGCATAACACTCACATGGACTTGACTATCAGCCAAAGGCAGAAAGTACATACTTAATGCCAAATTTTGCATTGAGAAGTCTAACATCCTCCCTGGAAAGAGGAATATCTTCATTAGCATGAAGTGCTTTAAGAATTACCACAAGGACTTCAGTGTTTCAGGCCTGAATCCTCAAGCACTAGGACTACATGTTCCTAAGCTGATCTCAGACAAAGGTCCAAGAGCCAATCCTTGCATATCAGCAATTACATTCATTATCTACACTATATAGATAATTGTATATCAGTTATTATACTCTTACAACAGCAGCAAAATTACTTGAAGGGTAATTCTGTTAAGAACTTCAGAGTTACTAGAATGAGGACCTAAAGCATTCTAGTATGGCAAAGGGATACAGGTCCTGGAAGCAGCCAAGGAATACATTTCAAGCTTAAGGAATACTTGCAGCCTTAAAACACTTAGCAAGGCCAACACCTGTGTGCAACAACTTGCAGCTTATCAAGCTGCAAATGTGCTGAGGTTTAACAAGGCCAAGTGCTGGTCCTGCACTTTGGCCATACCAATCCCATGCAGAGTTCCAGGCTGGGACAGAGTGGCTGGAGAGCACCAGGAGAAAGGGACCTGGGAGTTTGGAGAGATAGAAAGCTGAACAGTGCTGAGGTAGCCAAGGAGGCCAATGGCATCCTGGCCTGGATCAGGAACAGTGTGGTCAGCAGGGCCAGGAAGGTGATTCTGCCTCTGGACTTGGTGCTGG